GCACTGCGTACAGTTGTCCTTTCTGCAATAAAAACAAGTGTTTTGAGATGAGTGTTCTGCCCTGATACGCATTTATTTGTTTTAAAAAAAAAAACTCAAAAACTCGAATTTCACTGTTTCGCGTTTTCATGTCACAAACGCAGCTAATAACGCCCACAGTCTCTGCTATTAGGGGTAGCATTAATCGGAAGAATTGCTACTGAGCTAAGCGCTGTAGAAATTTCAAAGATACAAACAATGAATATCCCTGGCTAGGAGACTGGAAGAAACGAGCGTCTTCTGAAGGAAAGAAACGAGCGTCTTGTAATCCCTCTTCTGATAAAGAAACGAGCGTCTAAGTAGTCAGCAGACTAAACACCAAGCATTGTAGCAATACTTAAAACAGCCACTAGCTGTATAACCGGATAACCGAGCTATAAATTACAGTTGATCCAGTTTTACAGGTATTCTCAGAAGCATACTTCCAACTCATCTCATCTCAGTGGATATTAAAAATAACTGTCGAATTGTTCAGCGATGCATGAGCATCAACCTCCTCCCTCCCCCCTCCCCCCTCCGCCCTCCCACTCCTTCCCCGTGTTATACATATAAACCAATTTCCGCTTCCACTACACTTGTTCTGCCTTTCACTGGCAGTTAACTAAATATTACCATCCTACCGAAGATATCCTTTTGTGAACCTGTTGTTATCATCCATCTCATCATACCAGCAAAAGTGCTTCTTCATAGCGTAAGAATTGGTTCAGTAATGTTTCTCATGCTAACAACGACCGTTCTATTGCATTTAAGTGTTTCGGAAATTTTTGAAAAACTTTGGAAAATGTAAACTATGGATGTTTGTTTGGCGCTTTAGGCCAGCCGATGAAAGGGACACAGTCGAATATTGTCAACTGCAACTTGCTGACAACTCACTGGATGCAGGCATTCAAAAACACCGATGTTGCATCATCACTTCCTCCTAAGTAGGTCATGTAATGGCGCGAAGTGGCCTATATAAGGTCTATATAAAGCTGTACCGGTGTTGTCAGTGAGTGTGTCGATCCAGTGTTGTGCAGCACCGTGTTGCGGTGGACTCTACTACCCCTGAGCCTTCACGAAGGAGTCGATAACCCAGCCTGACAAGTCAGGACACCAAGCCAAGGAGCCGACTAGCTCCAGCCTGACAGGCGGGACGACCAGCGCCGAACTCGAGCCCAACACTGAAGCAATAGTAACAACGTAAAAAAAAGTGAACAAACCCTGGGAGAAATTTCAGGTTTCCTGTCAAATGATGCCAAAAGTTTATGGATCACAAACCAGAAACATAAATTATGCCATGGAAGAAGTGATGAAAGATAAAACGGTTCCGCTACGATTATATCGCACTGAAAAAATGAATTTTTTCTTTTGTTCATAGCCAGCAAAATTTATTTTCAAAAAAAAAACGGCAAAGACAAACCTTCTCTCCCCCCTCCCCTCCTTACCCCCATCCTATATTTGTTCTTGATGACAAACGGAAGGAATTGGAGGCATCC